ACACACACACACACACACACACACACACACACACACACACACACACAGTGTTTCTTGGAATGCAATATCAATAAAATCTTTTACATTAGAATTATTCTATGAGGTAAACATCTCCTTACTTAATAATAGGAAATTAAGGATGGAACTATTGAATTCAAACTGCAGAACAATGCTGTTAAAAACAAATGGTATAGAAAAAGATTTAATTACAGTTCCACAGCATAACTGCAGAGGAATAATATAATTGTATATGTACATAGAGTACCATAATGTGCTCTAAAATGACTGTACCTATCAGATATTCTCTTGCAACAACGGAGTATAACACTGCATCAAATATTGTCACTGCTCATCATTAACGTCAAACCACAGGAAATATGACTTGCTTTTACTATCCATGACATTCAGAAATTGAACAGATAGCTCTCTTCTGAAGGACTCCTTTCTGATATGTTCATTCTTCAGAATTAACTGGGAAGGACAAGTTCCAGCAACAGGCACTCAAGCAACCCGATATATGAAACTGTATAAGATAGAACTCCAAAGTGACCCTATGTGCACAGTAGCAATTGTATGTTCCTAGAAACTCAATTCTTAATCACATTCCTCTTTAGAACTGACATTATCTCTGGGAAATAACTAAAATATAACAAGTGTTTTTTTAAAAAATGCAAATATATTTATAAATAAAATAGTTACCATATGTCCTCCAGTGTATAATTATTAGTCAACCTCTAATTTTTTAGAGTGAAACAGAAATGAGACCATGAATGGTTAATAAGAAACATTTACTTTCATTTTCTAACTGATGAAATTCCAGTCAGCTCTACAAGGAACCTATTACTAAAGTATGATAGCACAAGATTCTCAAACTGTGTACTGTGAATCTTTATGGGTTGCCAGTTATTTAGAAGCAAGCATACATTGTTTAAAGCTGGTAAGGCCTATGTAGGCTGGAGCACTGTCAAAAATCACTCCTGCTTTACTTGGACAAACCCATAATGGGAGTCCTGGCAAAGCAGGCAACACACCCTGGAGTGAACTGTAATCCCCTGGAGTGAATTGTAATCCATTTACACAAACAAAGTCCAGATGAGGTTTTGAGAAATAGTTGAATCTGAGGTTCTAGCCATCTGTCAGAACAATTCACCAATCATGAGGGCTTTTTCTTAAGAATTTTTTTTGTTAGTTTTATTCATGGGGATAACCCAATCCATGCATCATTTTAGGGCACTGTACTATTGCAAAGCTTAGAGAACATCTTAGTTATAGAACAAATAAATGGACATGACAGCAAAATTTTGCTTGAACATTTTCAATGAAATAAGTGAACTAAATTAGAAGCAAAATGGCATAATTGAGAGATATCAGATTGACTGATTCACACATTTCCAAACACTTTATTCCCAGATTTGTTGTTTTCATTTCCCCAATAAAAGATAAGGCACTGAATCATTCAGCATCTAGCACATGCCTAGGAGGAATATTCCTGAAGGGCAGCAAATGCCCTTGAGAGAGAGAGGGAAGGAGAGAGAGAGAGAGAGAGAGAGAAAGCTGACATCACACCAATTATTCTCTTTGCTTTTTATTTTATCTCAACATCACTTCTCTGGAAGACTGTTGTAGAAAAAAACCATCTGTGGATATTGCTGAGGTTCAGTGGCTATTATAAAAACAGAGATATTTTTTATAATTTGACATGAAGTAGTGCAACAGAATACCTAAAGGGCTGTTTTCTCCCATATAAGGCTATATGTTTAGTTACATTTTGTGGACAAGTTCACCTCTAAGATCTGCCAACATCAGAGCTAGGTTTAGTCTGGATTATGGTGCTGTCTGTTCAGAATTCCCTATCTAAGAAGATTCACTTCATCCTGCTGGCGCTTCAAATAGATTAAGATTCCCCACCCCACCCCATCAAGCATTGGTTATTGCCTCTATTGGTTAAGTCTTTCTGTCTGATATTTTATGTTAATTTATTCACTTCAAATATTTTAAAAGATGCAAATAATTATCAGATGACCACAAAAGCATACTAATAGAGGAATGTCCAATGAAATTATGAACCAAAGCCTTACAAAGGTAGCTTCTAATTATGTAAAAAAAAATCTGCAAATGAAATAACTTCCCAAAAGGTGGAACAGAAAACATATAAATAAATCCTTTCCTAAATTACAATGATGTAATATTTTAAGGGAACCTGATTATTTTTCATTCAGAACCTTTGACAAAAAAGAAATTGAGAAATTTATGTTTGAAGGATGGGGTGGTGGTGGTGATGATAAACAGTGCGTTAATGGATAAGTATTCATTTCAGCTTTCTCCAATTTAGTATAATTCCACATGTGCTGGGATTACAAATTGCAAATTTTCAAAAGCATACCATATTTTCTAGGAATTTGGGGAACTCCATTGTAATACATCTGGAGGGTACCAAGCTGCAGAAAGCTAACCTAATCAAGTTCAAGCAGGAATACTTATAAAGTTATAAATCTATCAAGCTTTATCATAAACTATCAAACTTTTTCTGTTCCTTTTACAAGTACATTCACTGTACTTTTCCATTACATTTCCTGTATTTAATTTCCAAAGATACATTGTTAACATTCATTTCACCTAGTTTCCCAAGATATAACATTCATGTGCGCCTTACAAATTTCTCATAGTTATTGGTTGAATCTACTGGTAATACAAACTAGGTGTTGGAGACCTAAATATCTGTGGGACACTACCATACAAACCATTTTCATCAAAAAGATGGACACACCCTTCCAAATTTTTAACAGGAGGAAGTTATCAAGTAGTAGCTTGGGAGTATCAGATCCTAAAAGTAATTGCCCGTTCCAGATCAACTCATTGACACAAACAAGAATTCATCCATCTAACGTAGATCTCTAGTTATTTACCAGAAGAACAGCCCCACCCCTCCTTTGAACCCCTTTTAACCAATTAACCGGCCCCAAAACCTACCCAAACTTCCAGCTGAAGTTACTACTACTCTTCCTGGCCTTCCCTCCCCCGAGGATGTGGTCGCAGCCATCTCGCTACCTAAGAATACACCCCAATAACCCCAACACTTCTAGGCCAAGATTCAATCCTTGAAGCTAGGCCCAGCCAACCTTCAACGGCACCCCGACTTTCGCTCAAGGAGTAAGCGCAATCCCACGCCACTCCGAGAAAGGAGTAACCCCCGTCTTTCCCACCCACCGCTTCTATAGCCGCGAGGAAGGCTCCCCCCCCCAACCGACCAGAACGCTCCCATAGCAACAGCCAGGCGTTCGCATTCGCGGCCCCCCATTACTCGCCCTTTGGCAGCCCTCAGATGTACCCCTTCTAACTCCGCGATGCAGGCTCGCCCCAAGGCCCGCACACGGGGCGGCAAATTCGATCGCCATGCGCGCCTATTCCCCCCCCCCAATAATATCCCCCCCCCCAATCTATTTCTTATTCTTAACCACAATAAATTCTTCTCTACCCGCGGCCTATAAAACACGCGCGCGTGTGCTGGTATGCCCCCATAACGTTACCATAGCAACAAGAACCCCGTTTCTGAGGCTTAGCAGGGGAGTGGGGGTGCGCGTTCCCCCTCCCTCCGCATAGTTACCATCGTAGCAAGCAGGCGAGGGCTCTGAGGCCCGGACGGTCGGCCAGCAACCTCGTCCCCGACTGCATCTAGACAGCAATTGAGGCAGCGGAGCGGAACAGGAAAAAGCGAACCCAAGGCCAGCGTCCCCCTCCCTTTAATAATACGTACATCACCGCCAAAGAGGCTTAAGTAGTTGCAGGAGCACCACGTCCCAACCCCGAGGCCTACAAGGAAGACCGGAAAGGAGACGGGCCTGCTCACCCGCCTACTAGCCAGAGTCTTGATAGCTATGGAGAGAAGTGAGTCCTTTTTTCTCTCCCAACAACGTGGGGATGAGGTTCACGGGGCGCATCTCACCTGTGGTGGCTCGGCTTCACTCCTAGCTAGCCAGCTGCGGGGCCTTTTTTTACCACAGGAGAAGGTGGTGAGGGAGAGAAAGAGGGGTAATTTTGAGGAAAAGGAGCTGCAAGTGCCGTCTCAGCAGAGACCCGGGAGAAATACAGGCCGCAAAATCCTCGGGCTCGCGTAGTTTCTGTCCCCGGCAATGGTAGCTTCACTCCCGGGAGGAATGAGGGACTCTTCACCTCCTTTCCCCCAAGGAACAGATTACAGAGGGAAAGGGAGGGGGGCTGGGATGGGAGAGGGGGTTACAAAAAAAAAAGGCTAGTCAGGTGTATGTGTTTAGGGAATTGCAAGTTGCGATCGATGGGGGAGGGGCACCCCCACATTTCACTTTTTCTCCCCCCCTGCTCTACACCCCCTTCCCCCCCCCCGCCCTTCTTTACTTAGTCATTTTTTTAAGCCCAGCCCTGGATCGATTGGTGCAAAAAAAAAAAACGGGGGAAAAGCACTACTTGTGAAAATGCATATTGTCTCGCGAGATTTGCACGTGTGGGAGGGGGGAGGTGGTGATAGTGGTGGTGAGAAAAGGTTGGGGGAGGGGAGAGGTCAGTGCAAGGAGGTGCTAAAAGCATGGGGTGTGGCGATGGGGTTGAGGGAGGACCTAAAAAATGGATGTGTCGCTGCACGAGCAATAATAGTTAAGCAGGTTGAGATAATTTATCTTGTCTTAGTGGGATTATAACGAGGGGAGACGTGTCCCCAGGTCAAAGGGGGAAATCAGATTCTTTTCCTTGAGAATTGGCCAAGGGATTCCTTTTTTCATGGCAGTCATTGCAAAACAAAGACTCGAGCAGTGCATCTTGGAGAGAAATCCTAAAAGCAGCTTCTGCGGCCAAGAAGGGGCGTGGCAGGGAGGTTGTCTTGACAGAGGACCCTAAGGTAGGTAGCTATTTTGATATGGTCGTACTCAGGCTGTGATGCTTCTCCAGAGAGGAGACCCAAGAGCCTGATGAGTTATCAGTATGATTAAAGCAAACCGGGAGTCAGGCTGCTATATATAAAGGGAACTGTAGCTTTAAAGATGTGTCCTTAGTAAGAAAGAAGGTGTACAATAGAATACTAGTGTTTGGGAAAGTTACTGTGTAAAACAAAATTGGAAACAATATCTAACCATCACATTCAGCTACAGAATGCAGATTGTTATATAGGAATCATTAGGGGAAAGCTTAAAAGGGCAGGTCTATTCAAAAATAAACCCTATTGAATGTAATAAAGATTACAGGATTGCAATTGCATTGTAAGGTTGATGGAGAAGGGGGCAAACTACTGGAAGCATGCAGTTAGTTGAAAAATCTGTCAAATGGAGAGTAAAGCAAAATGATATGTACACTGCAAAGTTAATGAACTCTTGTTTTTATGTTAATAAACATATTAAGCATTTATGATCCTCAAGTGTCTATTAAAATCAGTAATGGAATCATATTTGTGTTGTTTATTCTTTGTCTCTTGAAAGAATTTCCATTTTCTAAAATTGATAGTGGAAATCATCTTTGTAAATGCACATCTATGCCTTTAACCATCTTATCCTCTAAGGGATTATGCCCTGCCCTTTGTTGCTCAGAGACATATATGTTGATAATTGTGACCCTTAAGATTCAGGCAACTGGCTCCAATTTTAATCATCACAATATTTTGGAGACTAATTTGAAACACAATGAGAAATTCATGAATAGTCACAAGCAAACTATCTGAGTCAAATACAAGTTTACCAAATGATAAGCAAATGTTATTGCTTATCACTTGGTAAACTCAAAGTGTATTGTTGAGAAGAAACATAAAAAACATTCGGTCTATAGTTCTATCTATTATCAGAAACATGCAGTGATAGGTTAAAATAGGTATTATGTATAATGCCTTTTGAAGGTCTTCAGAATAGCCTTTTGCTATTATTCAATCAGCAGAAGAAACAATTAGACAAATATATTTTCATCTTAAATCCCAACTGCATCTCCTTGTTTGTGTGGAATCCCTGTTGTTCTTGGGATAAAGTATAGTATCTACACTTATTGATTAAACACTAAATTGGAAGGTTTGGTACCATCAAGGAAAGAAATATTAGCATATGCAACAAAAAAGAATACATGATGTATTCCAAAAGTACATTAATGCTTCATTCAAATCTCTTCCAGGCTAAGAATTTCCACTTTGCTATTACTTTCATGTAACATTAATCTTCTCTTCCATGCTACTGAATGTTATAAAAGAGAAAATAAAAAAGCTGCATCCATCTCATGCACCTACAATGAGATAAACTCTTGATGTATTATAAATATGCTTGATCACTTGTACAACTGCTAATTATAAATTACACACTAGTGCAATTTATCATAATCATATATACTATGATTATGGCAAGTGGTTATGATTTTCTGGCCATGTGATATTCATACAATTGTTCAAAATATGAGACTGAACTGGAGGATTACTGCAAAAAGGACACCTCAGCATAAAATATTCTATAGTCTAGTGGACACAAAAATGAATTCATTACAACAGCTGCAGTCTATGTATGTTAACCCCTTTCTCTAATGTATTTGCGTTTTCCTAGGAATAAAGCACTTAAATCTAGAGTCTTGACCCATCTGATTCTTTTATATAAAGTTGGAAGACTAGCATCTCTTTGATAAAAGGTGCAACTATTTATAGAAGGCACTACCTCAATCTCTTTGTAATATGCAGTCATACTGCAATTGCATTCAGCAACAGCCTCCACAACAGTACATACCCAACAGTGCAGTTTTCAAATTTCACAAGTTATTCTACTCTAATTAACCAGCCATATGCAATTTTATCTGAAAAAAAAAATCAGTTTGTAGCCATACATGTCATCCTCACTCAGAGAAACCCAATAAAACTCCTGGTGTATTTAACAGCATTCTTACTATCATGGCAGTGAGGCAGGCTGATCAATAAGCATTTCTTGCCATAACTGTACTGATACAGTCCACTTGCACCACATTGTTGAGAGGCAGTTTGGTGTAGTGGTTAAGGCAGCAGGCTAGGAACCAGAAAGCCACAAGTTCTAGTCCTGCCTTAATCACAAGGCAGTTAGATAATCTTTAATCATTTTCTCTGTCCTGGGAAGGTCACAATGGCAAACCATTTCTGAAAAAAACTTGCCAGGAAAACTACAGGAACTTCAGTTCCAGGGAATGTCTAAGAATCAGACATAACTGAATGACAGAAAAAAACAGGATAGTACCATTACTTACTTGGTTACTGCATGGGCACATGAACACATGTACGTACTATTTGCCTGAATATGATTCAAGCTACACAAGTCATACTACAGACTATGCTTAATAATATCCATGTTTTCCTAGTGCTCCTTAATTACTGAACACTGAATTTATCTTAGTCTCAGTGTGATGAGGAAATTGGTACATTTTGTAGACCAGGTTATCTCTATTATTATTACAGTTTAAAACATTCTAAAAGACAAAGTCCATAAAAATGGATCAAACAGTATTATCAATTTGTATCATTCCAGCCAAAAGAAAACAGAACAAGCATAGATGGGAAGTGAATTGACTCTTTGTACCCAATTGCCTAACTGTAAAGCAGAAATAACTTAGAAACGGCAGGAGAAAGTTGTGTAATGCTGCTCTGAAAAGAAACCAGACCAGGCTGTTGAATCTAGTTTATAAGATGACTACAAAATGGGTAATTGAGCTAGCCTTTGGGTACCGAACAAACCATCTCTGGAGGAAACCATGCTATTCTGGATAATTTTTTGGGGGGGGGGGAGGCTGCCCAATCTAATCTGGATGTTTGTAGAGTTCTCATAACTAAATGTCATATTACTCAGAATTGTGTGCACATGCCCCATTTCAGATCATTTGCCTATAATGTTTATGACCTACATCTTGGCAAGAATCCCAAATATATCCTGCTTACTATGGCAACTTGTAAACATTTCTAAAAGATCTCTTAGATAAAACGTGATAAGAAATAAATTATACCAGTCTCCTCAGAGAGAAGAGGTGGTTTATAATTTTATCCTGGTCAGACCACCTTCTCAGACACTCCTACCGATAACATAAGTCATTTGCTTTTCAGAACAGGGAACAAAAGCTTCCAGGATTATTATGTAGTATCTATATTTATACAGGTACTGATCTTATGGTATTAACTGCCATTTGGCACTGAAGTAAGCCTTACGATACCATTACACACTGCAATGAGTTGTCATCCACATAAAAGATATTGCTCAGACCTATGAAATCTTTGGTTCCAAGAAAAAAAAAATCAAACTTGCTGCAGTTGACTTTTGCAGCTAAGATGGAAAATTGGGTAGTAATATGGAAGTTCTTGCCAATAAATACTATTTAACTAAATACAAGTCTTCTGTCTTTCACAGGGTGGTACTGCTGTGCTAAAATGGCAACACTCTTTGAAACTGGGCCTGTAAAATGCAGAGCTTCATAAATGGAACACATCTACTCATGGTCCAGAAGACATGTTAACATCAGTTGCATACACTATCCCACTATAGGAAGAAGCAAGATTATGTGGAGCTGTCTATTTGAAAACTTTGATCTGTGAGATTATGGATGTAGAACACAGGAAAGGGTGGCTTTCAGGGCTTTATAGAACATTTGCCTATGTCCCGTCCTCCCATTATCCCATATCTTTAATCAAATATTTAGCTTAAGTATATCTGAAGTGTATCCCAAGGCTCATCAACACTATTAAAAATAAGCATAACTTTCAATGTTTGCCAATTCCTATCATAATTCTAATTGCACATGCTCTTAGTGTCAAACACATTAGTCATAGTTTTGCACGTCATGCTAAGAATAGGCTTTCATAAGCCTATTCTTAGCATGACATGCAAAACAAATAACAAATAAGCATACCTGTTTATTTGTCAGCAAATAACAAATAAGCATACCTGTTAATCTTGCAAGCACATATTCAACACCATTATTTGCTTATGGTTTCATTTTTGTTCTATACTTGTCCATATCATTTCCATGCAATATATGCTCCTCTGTATCCTAGCTTAACGGAACAATATTGCTAAAAACACTTAGGCAAGCATAACCTTAGTCATTATTCTGAGCCATGCCTATTCAGAAACAACGCAAGAATTTGAGAAGAACATGATTTTTATCAGCAATTTAACTTTGAAAAATTTGATCTAAGAGCAGAGAACTGGTCAGAGAAAACAATGGGTGAGTGCACGCAAAATTGCATTTTTGGAAGTGGTGCATACATGAAAGTATCCCCTCTCCCCGCCCCACACTGCCACCATCTCCACCAGTCCAGCAAGCCAGAAAGATTGGAGACTGCTGTTGTAGACCTTCCAAAATTGGAAAAGCATCTCAAAACCTAAAGGAATTCAGTATTGGCCAAAAGCACACTTTAAAATTTAATAATCTTTTTAAACTAGAGAAAAAATGACCTCTCGCAGGCCACATAAGAAAACTACTTTGGCAATGGATAAACTGGGATTGAAAGTGTTTCTGTAGGAATTATAAGTTATGAGAATTCTGAAAAATTTGTGCAATATATCAAACTCATTACAAATGCTGGGTAGACTGAATTTGACCAGTTCCAAATTTAAAAAGTTCACCATCAAAAAGCAATGATCATCCAAGAACAGTACAACAGAGTTACATGTATGTATCATATATATGATAATTTTCTGTATAGCACATTCTCCCAGAAAAGGAGATCTCATTAAGTTCAATTAATAATTGAAGAAATTCTCTCTGCTACAGACTTGTTATCTCCTGGTGGCTTCTGGTATTTACATTGGATCCAGACTCTATACATGGTGATTTGTTTTCCTCTGTTAACCTGGAGGCGGCGATCAAGAATATTTTGAATTTTCTCTAAGCCAGCAGTAGAAAACAGAAAATCCAACTCATCTACGATACAAAAGAAAGAATTTAATTTACCTACATTTTCTTATTCATAGCTATAAAAAAGTTTCAATTAATTATTGATCACTATATGGCAATGAAATTCAAAAATATCAACACAGCCAGATCATTAAAATTTTACCTTGTAGGAAACCATCTTTGGTCAGACAAAGTTTGATGGTGTTTGATTTCGTTGTACGAAGTGCAAAGACAACTAAACAATTTAGAGGGAATTTCACAGGGACTAGTCAAAGGCTTTTAGGGAGATTGTTGTGGATGTGTGGTACCACAGATTCCCTCTCCCTCAAATTTTCATGGGAAATTGTCATGTAGTTTCATAACTAGGTAGATCAGATAATTTTAAAGGTGACAACTTAGTATCCTAGCTGATTCTATAATGGTTCAGAATTAATGTATTGCTCCAATCAGAATGTAAGTCTCCAACAATAATGGAAGAAGCTATAAGATTCTCAACCAAAACTATGAGATCATCTTCTCATGAATTCCACTCAGTTGCAAGCCTCGTTACATAAAACTGCTATTTGTTTACCTTGTGTGAAGAAATAAACTCTGGTTCCATCTCCTTTCACATAGAAATTATCAGCCAGACATTGACCTGAAGAGAGGAAGGAGATTTGACTGCAAATGCATTTGTTCCACTTTCATTCTGCCTCCCACTACCTCCACCCAAAAGGTAAAGGCAGTAATAATCAATTCACTGTCAAAATACTTCAGCAAAGACAATAGTTTTTTTTTCTTTCGTTACAGTAGTACACAGTGGTACTTCAGTGCTTGCTGAACCATATGCAGAAATCTAGCAATAACTAGAGTGGTCTTTGGCTGAAAAAGACCTCACACAATCTACAATTGATTTCTTTACCCTCAGAACTGCTTGTATGTCTATCAAACACTGAAAATAACATTAAACAACTGTTCCAAATTTTTTACTTTCCTACATTGTCAGAAATATTTGAATCTGCATATTGCTAAAGACATAGCCTGCATATTATTTGGAACAAGATTACCACTTCCTGCATGGCAACAAGTAATTCGTGGTTAAAAGCTGAAAATGTTAGCCCACAAAAGAACAAGAAAAAGCAGTTTTTATCAACTAAGACATAGATTTCGATGTTTATTTTGTGTGAATTACTAAGTCACTATCTAAAGTTTTTGAAGATCATCACACATTAGGGTTTGGCAGTGCAATGTCTGTGATTACATCTGCACATGTGACCTCCGTAATGGTATTCACAAAACCTCAAAATAAAATTAAAACTTTGTTTCTTTAAAAATATGTCAAATCTCAAAATAGAATATCACAAAATTTCAGGGTACTCATCTGAAATCCCATGAAATGTTAAAACAGAACACGAGATTTCATTGGATCTGATGATTATAGGATTTAATTCCTTTTTTAAATAGTGCTCATATTACTTCTTGCAATCATCATGAATCACCATTGGTGTACAAACCATAGAAGCCACTTATTTCAGAAACTCAGAAAAAGTTGTCATTCATGCTGTTTTTGTTAATGGAGCAGAGCAAACAGTTCTGTATCTACTCAAACCACTTTGATATCTAGTTTCATGAAAATGGCTAGTAATTTCTTTTAATGAGAAGCAGAGTGATAATACTTTTTAAATATCATAGTTTTGCCCTCACCCTACCTTTCTTAAAGCGGAGTTGGGCTAGATCAAACCGGCCATAATCTCGTAATAAAATAATTCCACCAGGTTTTAGAAGATGGCTAAGCCTATTGATTGCACACTGCATTCTGAGAAAAAGAAAGAGAAAAAAGTCAATGTCTACTGAGGCTCACTACAAAAGTTTTATTTTGGAACAGGTCATCATATCTTTATCCCTCCTCAATGCACATGTCTTTATCAGACAAACAATATGTAACATCAGTATTTCATACTTTTCTGGAAGAATAGATGAAAGGACGAAGATAAGAACTATCACATCAAGGCTCTCGTCTGGCATTGGAAAAGGCGTCTGATTCTTGGTCAGGTCATGAACGAAGGCAAAGCAACGAGAGGCATCATATTCTGGATGGGCCTGTATGTTCACACAATTATCTTTCTTATAGCAGTTCTTATTTCACAGAAACCTGTGGAATAAATTAAGCTAAGAGAGAGCAACTTGCCCAAATCTCACCCAGGTAACCTCAAAGCTGCACCAGGAATTTTCTAGATGTTCCAATCCACGCATAAACTTGTTATAGCAAACCATCCATATTTCTGTGGGAAATCCCTGAACATGCATACATACATATATACATACATACACACATACATACCAGAGACCTTTAAGGGATAAATAGTTCTATTTCACACAGTTGCTTATTTTCACAAATGAACAGCATTTAAAAAACAAGTTTTTTAAATGAAGAGTTGATGTTCTATTAGAGGACTCATGAGTTAATAATAAATTGAACTCACCCTTCTCACTGTTCTTATTTTTTGTTTACGGGCTGGTGTATTATTTAAATATCTCTACTCTTATCTTTAGTAGACTTATGTTAGGAGACCATAACTATTACATACTTTCAGAAATAAAGGAAGCTAGCTAAGAATTTTTTTAAAAAATGATATCATTTTTTAAAATTACCAGGACAAGATCCACTGCTGTAGTAGAGAAGTCACAACAATATACAAAAAGGCCTGGATCACTGAAATGAAATAGAAATTTTATCAGAAACACTTTTTTATTTAGAAGGGACAAGCTGCTACAGAGTTTCCAAAGATAGGATCTAGCGCAGTGACTGTTTTCCATTAGAAAGCGGCTAAATATGGAATAAAAGAAGACTCCATGACAATTAGGCACAACAGAAAGATAAATTTTCAATTCAAAACTTTACTCTCTAGTTAAGCAGAATTATATGTTAACTAGGATCAAATCAAGTGACTAGAAATTGAACAAAGATGAAGCAAAATGTCCACTGTTGTTGCAAGAATTTTTTTATTTATTTACTAATGCTACCTAGACTGTTCTAATAAATTGACTTTGAGCAGCATATGACTTCCAAAGATCATAATTTGAATTAAAATAATACATCACATTCAATATGTTTTTTGTTTAACATAATATAGAAGCAATTATGTTAGCCAAGTGTCAAACTCTAGAAAACATAAATGGTTTTTCACTCAGAGGGGCAATTATAAGAACTCCATAAATATGGAATGAGAAATCATTACACCAAAGAGGACCTCTTTTAAAATTTATAAAAATGCAATTTAAGTAAATTGATGGGCTTTCCTGATGTCAGATGTGTAAATTATTTGTATTATTATAAATATGCATATATAAACTCTACATAATTTCAGAAGTTTAATCTTCAATGTTTGGGAAAAATCTCCCAAATTGGAAATAGATTATTCAAAATGAGGTGAAAAGGACTATACATGTAAGTGATCCCACAATGCTAGAAAGTATCTATGCAATCTATATGTTTGAGTTGTAATTTTTCTTACTTGTTGGTTTGAAGGATAGGAAAGACCGTATTTCCTGCACCACATCCCACCTGTCAATAAAAGAAATAGATCTGAATTATTTTGCTGTGATAAAAATTAATGGAATAATAAAATTGTTAAATAGTTTGAGATATCCAAAGGCTTTTGTTACTTTCATTCCAAAAGATTACTGTGGTTTCCCTTCTGGAAATAATTTTTATTATCTATGCTTGTTTCCTGTATATTCTTCATGTGTTGCCATTAACATGTTATTTTTGACGTCAGCAACTAGTTCTTTTTTTGGGATGGACTGCACTTGTAAATGAAATATAACAGACAACAGAATCTTACTAGTCCAAATAAGTGAGTTTCTTCGGAAAAGTCATGTAGTTTCCTTTAAGAACCATCTTTAGTTTAAAAACATTGCCAGCTATTCATTCCTATATCTTTTTCCATTCATATTGTACTTTTCAAATGCAAAACACATTATCTGGCAAGACTCACAGGCAGCACCATTGAAGGCATATAGCAAGTTTGTGAGTATTTATGACTGAAATGAAAAACTACAGCTTTTGTTGAAATGATGTGCTTCTTTGATACTTTGCATAATAGTAGTAGCCACTCCTCCTAAAAAGGATGCTGAGTCAATTAGGATTGTGCACTCAAGGCAGCATGCTCATTCTTAAATTTTGATTTGCCGTGTTTTTACCTCTAATATTCTGTACGTAGCAGATGATCCTGGGAAGTCAACATCTTTTATTACTTTCTCTTCCTGCAGCTGTGATGCCATTTTATCTTCTGACTGCAGCTGATGGGTGATGTTACTATTATTCTTTCTTTCTGGATCCACATGTTCCAAATCTTTATTATCTCTTGTACAAAGTTTGTCAGAGTAGCTTCTAAGACTTGAATTTTTGATGTTTTTCACAGTTTCCTTAGAATTATGTATGGCAATCTGACCTTGAGCGTGGTTTGGAGCTAGTTCAGGAAACTCTGTGAACAACCAATGGCGATCTTTAAAAAATCCATTTTCATGGGTTTTATAGAAATCATCCCAATACATGTTGGCATTGATTTCATAAGCATCTTTAAACAAGAAAGACAGAGGATAATAAGTCAGCAATTCCATTTACAAAAAAATCTCACAAATTACATAATTTAGCAATGATATCTTCAGTGTAGCAGGAACTCTGCACAGTAATTTGCTTTAAATTACTGCCTTTTCATTTAAGACTTTTGCTGTTGTAAGGAGTTTCCCATATACCCAAGAAGCGCATCCTTCAAAGTCAGATAATATCTAACCTTTAGTCTGAATCCCAGTTCTCTGAAGCTAAGAGATACTTATGCTAGGAGCTAATATATTTTTTTTTAAAAATGATATTTTAACTAGGAAACCCCTAATATATGTGTCAAATATAGATATCATGAAGAATGAAGCTATTCACTAATCTGTCCTAATGATTTCACTGGAACTAAATGCAAACTTATTTTTAGATTGAGATTAATATTTTATTGATATTGATATATCCTTTGTTTTTTCCTATATTGTTTCATGTTTGTCTTTTAATTTTATAAAAAATCCTTTGATAGAAATATATATGGTTCTGATATTTATTTATTTTTATTTATTTATTTATTTATTTGATGGGGTTGTCATATATATAAGGAAGAATTTTCATTATATAGTCTGTAGTACCTTGTTGATCTTGTGGTACTAACTGCATGCTCTGTTCTTGGACCTTTGCTTGTGCAGCAGCTTCCTGCTCTTCAGACCATTCCACATTATCCCTATAAAAAAGAAATGTTAATCCACTACAGTTAATTGTTAAGTATTAAAATCCAATTCTTTAGCACAAAGATGGAAGGCTACAGAAACACCAATAACAGAGGAATAGACTGTAAAGATAGCTGAGTTTGCAGAAATGGCTATATTGACTTGTTTAAGGACAGAACTAGAATTACATTTATAAATGCCTGGAAACCCTTTGTGGTCATTTTGCTGAAAATGGATAAAAAAAAATTAATGCAGAATTTATTGATTAGAAAGGTTTGTTTATGGGAGGAAAGCAACTATATATGCAATATGGAGGGTGGATATGGTAATTTCTAAGAATAATTGATGCAAACAAGACAAAGTTGCTTTAAATACTTCTCTTGCTTTTTTGTACTCTTCACTTTTTCTTTTAACCTTTTCTTTTTTTCTAATTCTTTTGTTTCTGCAAATTTTAAAATCTTTGTAAAATCTTTAAATAAAAACTTCATTAAAAAAATAAACCAATTTTTCAGGCCTAATATTGCATACAGTTGCCATCGGACAAAATAACTACACACACAAAGGGCAAATATTTTTGGACATGTGATGTACATCCAAGGCAAAATTTAATGTCACCGGCAATTATATCATGTAAATATAGCTAATTACATACAGATAGACCTTGCTTATTGACTGCCTCATTTGAGTGATTTGCTTGAAGTTATGGCAGGATTTAAAATACAGGCAACCAATCTTTGCATTTACAACAGTTGCAGAATCTTGGGGTCACATGATTAACATCTGTGCTCTTTGCAACTGGCTTGTGACAAGCAGTGTTAATGGAGACACACAATAAAATTATAAGTTGCAGTCACATTAATATTTGCTTAACTATCAAAGTGATAGTTAAAAATGAAAAATGAAAAAAATGAAAAAAAATGAAAGTATAAGACTATACTTTCAGGGATCATTTCTATAGTATCCAACTAGAGAAATGCACTCGAAAGTGATCGGCTGATAGTGAAGTGGCAGGTAAACCCATCACAATCATGTGATATTCTGCTTAGGGACTGTGACCCTTTGCAACAGAGTTAATAGTTCCAATAGTTGTTGCTAACAAGGACTGCTGTATTTATCTTCTGAAATAAGATGACACTGTGTTGTGACATCATCATTTATGTATCCTCAGTTGCACCCCATTAGGAGCAGCAGAATTTGCAGTGAAAGATAAAAATTGGAGTTAAAATAGCTGGTGGCTTGATGTGGCCATAAGGCTTTATAAAGATGAGAAAAAGCAATGTGTACCCATTCCCCCATTTTTTCTCATGAAGCCCTTGATTACAGCTCATAAACAGCTGAACGTGTCTCTTTATTTACTATTTTATCTTCCTTTGTGTCAACTAAGCTTAACATTTCATCTTTTCGATCTGTTAAGATGCAGCATTAATATAAGTGTACAGAACAAAACAGATAATGCGTTTTTGTTTTACTTTGTGAGATCCTGCGTAGAGAGCTGGCATAAACTATGGAGTAGCTACAACGGATCAGAAAATAGATTGTTAGAGAGAAGCAACCAGAATCGTTACTTACCAGGCGTTGTGTTGAAAAACCCGAGTCGCATCAGTGAGGAAACGATTCCCAAACTGCTTCCTTTTCTTTTCATCCCGGCTGGGCGCAGCCATCATGCAAGACGAACACGACAGACAGGTTCAAGAAAATCCGACCCGGAAGGAGAGGACTTGATTTCTTGTGCTCTTCCTACAGCTCTTGAAGTTCACGCAAGGGAAAATCGAGATCGCCCAATGCGCATGCGTGAGATGTTAAGGCTTGCTTGCTTACAAAGGGTGCCTTTGCTTAATTGAAGAGGTTGCCTAGCTTCCTGGATTTCTCTGTCAAGCTGTCTTCGAAAATGAATCTTGAGACGGTCTAGAGTTTGTTCCTTTCTAGAAGGAAGGGAGATCTGCCCATAGATACTAATAGATCCGTCTTCTAAAAAGTACGGTATTTGGGTTGCAAATAACACTTCCGCAAAACCCGAACATTGATTTTTTAAAAAAGTTTTAAGTATCTGACATCTTTTGTATGTCAATGAAGAACAAAATTTCTGCATACAACTGAGCTCTAGAAATCACTTGAACAAGGTACCAAAAGATCTTGGTTGCAACCCAAATGAGAATATTTTAGTTGGAAATAAACTTTCAAACCAGTTCATAGCTTATAATATTCACAATAGCTTTTATTATACTTTTGCTGAATGACAAATCCATACTTATTCTTTAATTGGGGTTTGATCACTCAGAAGCAGGTAATAAATATGATTATTCCTTATGCTCAATTTCTAGTCATGTTTTAAATAGAATTAGAAAGTTTTGAAGGAGCTGTACACAGATGGTACCACTTATTCAAACATAATTAATTTTGAAAAAGCCAAGCAGGATTGATTAAATCAGTATTTTGATGGGGAATACTACAGACTAGACTGGGAAGTTTTAAAAACAAAATACCTGTACATTGTTGTTCATTGCAAAGTCATGTCTGACCCAACAGACAACGTTCCTCCAGGTCTTCCTGTCCTCTACCATCCCCTGGAGTCCATTTTAGCTCATGCCAACTGCTTCAGTGATTCCATCCAGCCACCTCATTCTCTGTCATCCCCTTCTTCTATTGCCCTCAATCGTTCCCAGCATTAGGCTCTTCTCCAGTGAGTCCTTCCTTCTCATTAGGTGGCCAAAGTATTTGAGTTTCATCTTCAGGATCTGGCCTTCTAAAGAGCAGTCAGGGTTGATCTCCTGTAGGACTGACTGGTTTGATTGCCTTGCAGTCCAAGGGACTCGCAGGAGTTTTCTCCAGCACCATAGTTCAAAAACCTCAATTCTTTGGCGCTCAGCTTTTCTTATGGTCCAACCTTCACAGCCATACATTACAACTGGGAAAACAGTAGCCTTGACTATACACACTTTTTTTGGAAGAGTGATGTCTCTGCTCTTTAGTATGCTGTCTAGATTTGCCATAGGTTTCCTCCCCAGGAGCAAGCGTCTTTTAATTTCTTGGCTGCAGTCACTATCTATGGTGATCTTGGAGTCCAAGAAAATAAAATATCTCACTATCTCCATTTCTTCCCCATCTATTTGCCAGGAATTGAGAGAATCAGATGCCATGATCTTAGTTTTCTTAATGTTGAATTTCACACCAACTTTTGCACTTTCCTTTTTCACCTGCATCAAGACGCTCTTTAGTTCCTCTTCACTTTCTGCCATTAGAGTGGTATCATCTTCATATCTGAGGTTGTTGATATTTCTCCCAGCAATCTTAATTCCAATTTGTGATTCATCTAGCCCCGCCTTTCTCATGATGTGCTCTGCATATAAGTTAAATAGGCAGGGTGACAGTATACAGCCTTGCCGGACTCCTTTCCCAATTTTGAACCAATCAGTGGTTCCGTGTCCAGGTCTCACTGTTGCTTCTTGATCCGCATATAGGTTTCTCAAGAGACAAACAAGTACTCCCATCTCTTTAAGAACTTTCCAATTTGTTGTGATCCACACAAAGGCTTTAGCATAGTCAATGAAGCAGAAGTAGATGTTTTTCTGGAACTCTGTAGCTTTTTCCATGATCCAGCATATGTTGGCAATTTGATCTTTAGTTCCTCTGCCTCTTCGAAATGCTGCCTTTACTTCTGGTAGTTCTCGTTTCACATACTACTGGAGCCTAGCTTGTAGGATTTTGAGCATAACTTTGCTAGCATCTGAAATGTGTGCAATGGTGTGATAGTTTGAACATTCTTTGGCATTGCCTTTCTTTGGAATTGGAATGTAAACTGACCTTTTCCAATCCTGTACATTGTTGTCCTCCCTCCCCCCAAAAAATTTCAACATGGAGATACATTGGATTTTTTGTGAATGACTTTAGAAGCACAACCGTTCTGTACACAGAATACGGGAACTGGGATGGATGGTCTGTGCCCAAATCAAAACACGCGAGAACTGTTTGACCCCTTTATGGACCAAAACTCAGATGTTCTGGGGGAACTGATACAATAGGTGGTGTAGCAAGGAAGGGATCTGAGAAAATTGGAGCCAGAGGAGTATGGTGTACAGTGATGATAAAAGGGACCTTGGTTTTACAGTATTTCATAAAATCTCTCTGCATTTTTGCTTAGATGGAAATTCACAATAACAACTTTTGTTTTTGATGAAACCATTTGAAACAGTGTGGCATGTAATAGATTGTTTCATACAGATTCCTAAAAAGTGTTCATGAAATCTTGACTATGTATCCGAATGGTCAAACAAATGGCAACTTCAAATCTCAACAAATAAATGCTCTGTCTTACATATTGGCAAAAAAAATCAGAAAATAAAATACAAGCTGAATAGTCAAGATCTTGTTGATGACCCAAGCTCTGTAAAGGACCTTGGAATACTCACCTCTAATGATCTAAGTGCTAGAGCACACTGCAACTACATAGCCAAAAAGGCATTAAGAGTTGTTAACCTAATCCTACGTAGCTTTTTCTCTGGTAATATCACACTACTAACCAGAGCATACAAAACATTTGCTAGACCAATACTCGAATACAGTTCATCAGTCTGGAACCCACACTACGTATCTGATATTAGCACAATTGAGAAAGTCCAGAAATATTTCACAAGAAGAGTTCTCCACTCCTCTACTCGCTGTAGAATACCTTATGCCACCAGACTTGAAATTCTAGAACTAGAAAACCTTGAATTACGCCGTCTTCGGTCTGACTTAAGCATGGTATACAAAATCATACATTGCAATGTCCTACCTGTCAATGAATACTTCAGCTTCAACCATAACAACACAAGAGCACACAATAGATACAAACTCAAAGTAAACCGCACCAAACTTGATTGCAGGAAATACGACTTCAGCAATAGAGTGGTCAATGTCTGGAATACTCTACCCGACTCTGTAGTTTCTTCCCCAAACCCCAAAAACTTTAACCTTAGACTGTCTACTATTGACCTCACCCCTTTCCTAAGAGGTCTGTAGGGGGCGTGCATAAGCGCACCAACGTGCCTACCGTCCCTGTCCTATTGTTTCTCTTATTCTTTTATTTTTCTTATATGTAACCATTTCATGTATTCACAACTATGTATATATTTATACTTATTATCTTGTAAACAATTGGCAAATCAAATAAATAAATAAATAAATAAATAAATAAAATTGTCAAACTTAAAACTTCAGATTATGCCCTTTGGCTGAATGATGGTCTCAAGTGTTATCCTCTTCCCCCGAACCTACATGACACATTTATTGTATTGAAATGCAATAAATCCCACACTGTCTACCTAAAGTTGTACAAAAACAAGGATATAAATTTTAAGCAATCAGTAGATAATTTTGTTTTCCAACATATGTACCACTGATGGTGTTCTCAGTTTGCAATTAACATACAGTAAAATCTCCTTCAAATCAAGTTTAATTTCTAGTGACTTCTCAATCTTCATCCATATAGGTTTTTTTTTTTTGCAACAATTCAGGTGTATCTATCATTGCCTTCTTGCAAGATTTTTACCTTTTATGTTTCTTCTTTCCAATCTCATTTACAATCATGTTATCCTGAAAAAGTCTCCCACTCAACGGCTGCTTTTCAATTGCGGATTATGCCTAACCTTTGTTAGTTGACTAGGGCTGGGAAGCTGAGTGAATAAGCCTATAATAAGGTAAGCTGGATGTCCCAGTTTGCAATATAGAAATAACTGTATTGGTAAGATGATTTTGTTGCAAACTAAAAACAACACAACTGTCATGAAATTGGATAGGGGTTTCAATCCCAATTTCTCCACTGATTTGTGCAAACAATTTCTTCCATTCAAAAGCATTATTTTTTGTTTTTTCTAGTTGAAGTACAGATTTGCCTGTTTAGTCAGTGTGATCTAGTTATTATTTCTTAGTTAAGCATTTAGATTATGTGCACTGACAGAGTAGCCATTATACCATTCAATAGAACTTACATGCAATTAAAAATGACCACTTAATCTTGCAATTATACAAGTGCACACTTTAATAATGCTAAATAATAGGTTGATAAATTCAATGGAGCATTATAACAAATAATGGATTAAGCACTGAAGAAGGATATTCTAATCATGACTCCAGCTCTGTAGCTGGAGAGGAATCTGTTGAAAACATTTGGAGCTAGAAACCTGGTGCAATGCAATATAATGGCTGATAGACTTTTCTGTAGAAAATGGTATGTTGTTATAAATAGCCTTTCAATAACACAAACAACATTATGTATAGTATCCATAGGTCTCAAAATGGACAAAACTATAATTAAATAGATTATATCTTACATAGTACTGGATGAAAAAATGTGCTGATTTGCAGAAACATCAGGTACTAATCACCCCAAAAATGCATCTGACTGAAAAAGTCCAGTTCCAATAAGACATAACTTGAACATTCCTAAAGAATAAAGATTGAGTTAGCAACAAATTAAAAATCTGGACCTTGTGGGCAAGGGAATTATTTGATAATATTGAGAATGATTGTTAAAAGAGAAAATTGGAAAGTGCATAACTCTGCTGAATATCTAATTCCCACGGTACAGTCTTATGTCTAACTATATTTAATCATTTAGTATGGCTGTATTACTATTATCCTTTTCATCTGTTCCAGTATCTTATTGATATCATTATTATTACTTTGTTTTGCTTTTACACTGAGAGACAAATTCCTTGTGTGTCTAATCACACTTGGTCAAATAAAGTATTCTGTTCCCATTCCCCATTCCATTCCATTCCTAGCATTATTTTAGGATTGGTATGTTATGAGAATTAATAGACTTTAAAAAAAAACATTTGCAGGTAGTTTTCCCAGCAAATGTCAGCACTTTGCTAATGTAGGCCAGATTGAATTATATTTAGGAGATTAGCAGGAAATCCCAGGGTTATAGACTAGATTAGAAAATTGAGTAAAAGATCTTGGAAAGGCAACAACAAGGTATTCTCATCTTTTTCGCACATCCATAGAATTTCTAGGGATCACACTCAAGGTAAATTTTATTTTCTTTTGTACCTTTTTCTTTAAAGTACTGTTTAAGCATGACAAGGGTGAATTTGTAAAAAAAAAGTATGTTCTGGTATCTAAAAACCATTGTGGGTGCAATTTCATTGTGCAACAAGTGCTTACACACACACACACACACACACAAAATGTATGTATGTATGTATGTATGTGTGTGTATGTATGTATGTATATTGTCCCTCAGAGATCCAGTAAAGTATGTTGTGCAGTTTGTCAAAAGAATGAAATGTTTGCTTCAATTGCCCTGCTTTGTATATGTAATATAACCTAAACAACTTACTAGTTGAATTGCTCAGGGTTTGCAGTACATGTTATGTTAATATTGGAATGATTTCTTCATTTATTCCTTTGGCATCTTTCCACCGAATCTTTAGTAGTCAACAAATAAGTAGTGCATAGCAGCTCTTTTTTCTTCCTACAATGGCGCTGATGTAGAAGGTGAAAAATCGGTGCAAGGGTGAGATACGCCACTTGTATCATCTCTACATATTTGCATTTAGCCCTCAACACCCTACATTTAGCAGCATAGGAAAAGTGAATCTGTGATGGTACATCTGAGAATAAGGCTCACAAATAAATGACAATCAGTCCATGAAAGTCCTATAAAGCAGAACTGGTACCTATCCAAGGCCTGTTAGGAACCAGGCCACACAACTGTAGATGAGCGACAGGTGAGTGGGATCTACGTTGCATGATACTTCACCTCCAGTCCGTGGAAAAATAGTTTTCCACGAAATTGGTCCTTTATGCAAAAAAAATTGGGGACCAATGCTATAAGGCAGTGAAATCCTACTAAAAGCAGCTAATGCTGTATTTGGAGCATCCTTTCTAGCACTACAGGTTTCTAGAGTAAGAATAGCTTTATACAACAGATTAAGTGAGCAAAGAGAAAACGAATAGAATTGGACTTGAAAAAGGACAGGTTTATTAGAAGCTAACATTTAGCTAGAAAACTTGCTCTATTCCAATCTCCCTTTCTTTGTAGGTCATAACATAATGTACCTTTTCTTGCCACTTAGCTGGCTTTTTTGAAAATGACATATAATTTAGGCATTATGTTTGTATAAAAATTGTACTTTGCAGCACTTAAATTATAAATACATACATACAAATGTCTAAACCTTAAGTTGTGAAGGAGACTCTGGAGTTCTTTGAGTTCCAAAGCTAATGCCTCAGATTCCCTTCACGCTCAAAAGTGAAACATGTCACATAGCAGACCTTCTGAAGATCTAGCAATTAAAAATAGCTAGGAAAAGGGTAGAGGAGAATTGTATACTTCTTTCTTCCTACTACAGTAACAGCTAGCCTTAATTCTGTGAGGGTCCTGTAGTCACCCAAATAATCCCTATTCCTGTCCTGCTTAACTACCAGTATTTTTGCTCCTTCTTCCAACTAGACTGCTTCATAGGTATCCCATACTTGGATGATATTGTTTTGCTGCCATTTTGTAGAGTTGTAATTGCAGGAATGTTCCAATCTCGGATGGCAAACCTCAGATAAAGAATGTTTCCAAGCAAATACAACTCAAGCAAACGAAGTCACTAATCTATGGATAAAGGAGGATTAGAGAGGGGAAGTAAACATATGTTAGACTTTAACTAGAGATAATTAATTGTATGGATTACTGTACTAAACAGTAACGAAAGTTAAGCAGTAACCAAAGTTAACCAATGATGGAGGATAACTAAAAATGTATATAAATACAAGACTATACTCCAAGAAAGATCATCATGATTCAGTTGTTCATGATCAAACAACTCGACTGTGTCGTCGTTACAACACCATTTAGTGATGTTTGTGACCAAATCTGATGCCCCTAGTCTTTCCCCCCACATTCCTTCACAAGGCACAATAACCCTGCTTCCAATTAAAGTGAAAGCAGGGGAAAAGTCCTCATTGCTCCTTGGTTTAACTTCTATAGCCACTTCAGTTTGATTGGGGCCTTGAGCTGGCTCTAGCATATCTCCTTTGTAAAAATCCAGACCGGCAGTAAAACGGTTTGGAAAAATCTAATCCTTGATGCTATTTAGTGCAATGTAATTTTGCAGCTCAGAAATGGTAGCCCTCTATATCAACGGGCATATGAACTGGCTATGCTTATGCTGGAGGGCAAGGACTGATCAGCAAGAGAAAACCCAATAATTCCTGGCTCCCTATGTTGCTTCTACTGGAAATGAAGTGTAGAAATATGTAACCGGAGAAGAATGAGCAAGAATTAGAAGATATAAAATAAATTATACAAAAAGGAGCAGGATATTTTCCTGTTTTGTATATATCAAGGACAGTGTTTCTCAACCTTGGTAAGTTTTAGGTAAATTTCAATCTTAGAATTCTCCAGCCAGCAAGAATATATATTCGGTAGCAATAGCACTTAGATTTATATACCACTTCATAGTGCTTTACAACCTTGTCTAAGAGGTTTACAGAATCAGCATATTGGCCCCAACAATCTGGGTCCTCATTTTACTGATCTCAGAAGGATGGAAGGCTGAAATTAACCATGAGCCCATCAGGATCGAAGGAATCAAACTTCTGGCAGTGAGCAGAGTCAGCCTGTAATACTGCATTCTAAAAGCTGTGGTGATACAGTGGTTAATGCTCTTAATACTATATATTGTACTATACTATCAATACATACCCAGACCTGATTACATTCTTCTTGAATATAATCTATTTTCGTTTATAATGTTTTCAAATGATTGATGAATTATTGTGTTTCTCTAATTAGCAGTTCTCAAAGTTTGATCTGAGGTCCTCTAGGGGTCAACAAGACCCAGGGGTGCAAAGCCTAACATTTTAAATTTTCTCAGTTATTTCTTAGATATAAACCAAAACTCTCTTAAACCAAAATTATTTTTAAAGAATTTAAAACCTTTTGAGGTTGAATTGCTGCCCTATCTCCTCAGTTTAAGTTGGTGATTCTGCCTAAAAGTCAGTTATTTTTGTTTCTCTTTTCTCCAATTTCAGGGATACTGTTCTATTATAAATATTATAAAAATATTTTATCAAATAAATTAACTGCCCCTGTGTAAGTGCCAATTTGTTGTTCAGATTTACATCATAACTTAAACTCACACTCTTCATTTGATACGGATATTTCTGGAATGAAATTTAAATATATATCCAAAAATTGAGTGTTTTCTATTTGTATCTTCTATTTTGTTGAATCACCTAGAATAAATGGACTGGTGTGGCTTAATTAGGCTGTTCAATAACACTGTATTTTCAAGTATGATAACTTCTATCTATCCATAGTTAGTTCCTTTTAGGATATAATTATATTGTTACAACAGCCTTTCTCCTTATCAAAAATGGAGCCTTCTTCCACTTGGTCCTGTCTTCTTACTGACATCATTACTTCTCTTTTTTGAGTCCTTCAACTTTGAAATATGAATTGTATTTTGAGGGCATAGATGCTCCAAGTCTTCTTCAATATTTCTCCAGTCTGCTCCACTCTTTTTGCTATGGCCTTATTTAATTAGCATACTGTGCTATGCCAGCCATTGAGGTTGTAAAACAGGATGTACGTGCTTTATACACAGGCTGTACACGAGTTAGATATGAACAAGTTCACACAGGCAACCACAAAAGTACTTCAGATTAGCGATATGCAAAATGTTTGTGCACAATTAGATGAATAAAGCAGTTGATTTAGAGAGGAGGGTTCCTTCCGGGACAGAAATGTGTTTTCCAGATATTTTGATCCATGTACAGGGTAGAGCTGTTTCGTTATAGATATGGACTGAAAGAATTTAGGGAAACCAAACATTAACAGTCCTGGCAGTTGAGGGGAAAGAGGGAGGGATAGAAAAGTTCTGGGAAGTCAGGATGGAGAGAGGATAATTGAACATGCCAGTTTGGGAATCACTTCCTTACTGTAGAGAACATTGTGATGTAAAACCAATTGCTGTGAGAACTAAGAATGGGGTGGTAGGTAGGTAAGGGAATGGGAAAACGGGCTATTGGACTATGTCATGCTGCTTTTTTGACAGTGATGGCAGAATTGGCTGAGAAGAGACAGGGAAAGAAAAGTGCTGGGAAGACTGAGGGGAGCAAAACATATTTGTTCAGCCTTGCCATACTTGCTTAGTGAAATCCGTCCCACTCGGTTTTAACTAAAACCTAGAATAATAAAAAGGTTGAGAGTTTAAAACAAAACGCATTTTTCCTTTATGCATTCCCTTGAACAACATATGAATACATTATTGGTTTTGCACATTAAATGAAGCCATAATACAATTAACTACTACTACTACTGCTACTACTTTTTTTGCAGAATTAGCTAAATGCCTTCATGCAATGTGCAAACTTTGTTTGTCTTCTAAAGACTGCAGTTTACCACCTGATGCAACTCATTTCTAGAGAAACATGGTTATTGAGAATTGTTTTAAGTTAACTGTTAAGGTTGGACAAGAAAGAAAAGAAAAAAATTGTAAGGAGAATAGAATGTATTGTGGATGATAAAGAGTTGAGTGCTATCCCCCAAATCTTTTTTTGAGTTTCAAGATTGAATATTTTTCTCCTGTTTTACTGTCCTTGTGCCTGCTAATGGAACTCAATAAGTAACAATAAGAAAACAAAGATGACAAGAGAGATGGTTTGCCTCTTGAAGCTTAATTTTTCACTGTATTAGCCAGGGTACAAAGTTGAAACCTTGCACTATGTCTCATAGAAAGTGTGATCTGCATACCAGCCTGAGACTGATTGAGGGAATGCATTCACATAAAAGGAGGAGCACTAGTTGCAACATCTGGTGTTACTTCTGACTTCTTTTTGATTTTCCACTAGTATTGATTACTTTATCTACAGGAGTGGCTGGCCGGACAACACGGTGGTACTGTTTTTTATCATATTCCCGAAGTTCTCGGGGTGATACTAGTTCCTGCAAAACATTCCATGACCAGGTGTACGTGGAGAAGATCTGGTAGAAGCTGGGGTTGTCTGTCTCCAGCCCAATCTCTCCACCACGTAGTCTCTTCCACAGCTTCAGTATTTTGTTGCGTTCACGGAAAGCCATTACTTTCCGATAGGAGCCTGTCACTTTCTTGACCTAAATAGAAAAGCCAGAGAATATGGATGGGAGATAAATCATCACAGTAAAATGCAAAAACTTTTAAAATGATTAATTGGGAATTGGGTAGCATATAAATGTGAGTAATTAGTAAAGTTATGACTCCCGAATTAAACCAATACATTAGCTGGTATTATGAGAAGGAGCTTTGAGGAATTTGAGGCTGGTAAACTTCCTCCCACTGCCCTTTGTTCTTTGTTTTTATTCATAAAGTTAATATCTGATGCCTTTAAGGAAGACATGTATTCACAGAATTCCTAACAAAGTAAGATATGGTAAAAAATGGACATATAAAATAATATAGACATGTCTTCTCAATAATCAGTCAAAGTTAAAAATGCCTACACTAGCAGTTCTTAAAAGGCTGGAAAATAAAATAACTAAAAGGGACTACTTTCCATAAGTATCAAACAAAGGCGCACAGAAAAAGAAATCGGAAGATTACCCCAATGGATGGACCTATTGCTGGAAATTTTTTTTCCATCCGGGCCCATTAATTTTTTCCACCCATATTCCATTAGCAGTTAAGCTGCAGAATTATACTCTACATCAGTGTTTCTCAATGTTGAGATGGGTGGACCAACTTTCAGGATTCCCCAGCCAGCATGAGCTAGTTTCTGAACTTCCCATAAAGATAATATACTGCTTATATACATTACAGTAATTTAATTTAGAGGTTTCAAGGTTACATTAGGTGGCTTACAATAATAAAATGGAAGAAAATGAAAGGAGTACAAAGAGAAATAATAAAACAATAAAATAAACAATGAAGAAGAAACAAGAGTGCATCAATATAATAACCAGAAAGATAGATGGGTGGAGAGAAAAGACCAAGCAATGGTTAAGTGAATATGTGAATTTGATATACAAGAGAAGCACAGGTGGATGTGAAACTCAAAAAGAAAGACTATTCCCATTCATAATTATCATTACAGAGAGCAATTACCCATTCCTTAAGTCAAAGGTTGGTAATTGATTTTAATTATAAGTCCAACTAATTTAATTTGGTCCAGCCCAATAAATAGTACCTGTTTCAAAGAGCTTACCTCTTGTCGGATTTGACTCACGTCATCCATAGTCAAACGCTTCTGACTTAGCTCTGGAGAGAGAGAAAGGGATGGTTTGGAAGCCTTGGCAGGCTTGGGCTATGTATAAAAGAAAAAAACAAACAAAATGTATAATGAAGGTTTGTCAAATCTGAGCAGATCAGTATCATATAAACAAACATACGGAAAGGCTACTTGAAGGATTTAATCATTAGATGAAAATAGGCAGAATGGAATTGTATACTCACTATCTGCTTTATCCACCTCTTTTTACGGATGAAATGGTCTTCAAAGGAGGAGAGGGGCTCCATCTTCCTTTGCATGTCTAGCTTCTGGACATCCTTTGTTGACCTCCCTTTCACCAAGACATCCCGGTTAGGGATCAAGGGAAAGATAGGTATTTGATTATAGGGACTCTCTGAAGGGTTCACTTTTCCTAGATAAAGCAAAACACAGTCAAATGTCAGGATGCTCTTAGCTGTATATCATCGATACTCATCAATATCCAAATTCAACTCTAGTGAAAAGCAAAGAGAAATTGGAGCAGAACATAGCAAAGTACAAGAGAAGCAAATAGCCATTGCAAACGACCTGGAAGGAAGCAGGACAGCAGATTAGCCTTTAGCCGGAAGCTAATTAGAAATGAATGCATTTCTTTTTCTTTGTGCTGTTCACACAGAATGGTAATGATATACTATCGAATGGATGTTGTTGTTTTTAAATACTTTTTTTCTATACCATGGCTCTGATTGAAATCTTACCCAGCTCTTGTTAGGTATTGGAGGAAAAGCTTTGTAAACAGAAGCACAGTCATCCAGTATAAATTATGAAAATACAAAAATGACAAAATGTGCATTTCACAATGCAAACTCAACTTTTATATTTGTGCTTAACATTGCACACAAGAAGGTAAATTATTCCTGCATATATTCTTAATTATTTTCTGTACTAGATAAATGAAGTCCTAGGAATTTGGAAAAACCATAGCAAATGCCCTTCCAACCAGCAATTCAAATGGATGGTTGGAGTACTATAATTTATATTTGCAATAATAGAGAAGATGGCATGTATCATATTTAATCTGGGCATGTATGTTTGGTAAATATTAAATTACCTGGTACAATAAATTTATAAATCAATGCAAAAGAATAAATACATTCAATATATTTCCCACCTGCCTTATAATTTCCCTAAAGATTTAGAAAAGTAGGAAATCTTTTTAGCACTGGAATAATTTTTTAAGAGATGTGCCTAAAACCTTATCCAATATCAGACTGGTTATTTTCTACTGGAATTAATTTCTTTTGTGGAAGCAGAAAATGGAGCACAGACTTCTTCCTAACCAAATGCTGTGTGCTTTCCCCATCCTCATTCCTAATCCAGAAAAAAAAAATCTTCTCAGGGAATGTGGTCAACAATTATGACATTCTGACAACAAAGCATTGTTTGCTTCATTGCCACCACATGAGCAAAAATCCAACAAATGCTCACCCATTACGAGAAAAAAGAAGAGACAGACAAACCCAGGGTTGGACTAATGCAATGCAAAATCTGTATTTAGCTCAGCCTGTGCTCTAAAAGAATCTTGAAAAGGAAAAGTCTTACTCCCTTATAATGCTACTCATATGAATAGAACAGAATAGAATAGAATAAAATTCTTTATTGGCCAAGCATAATTGGATACACAAGGAATTTGACTTGGTGCATATGCTCTCAGTGTACATAAAAGATACATTCATCAAGAATCATAAGGTACAGCACTTAATAGTCATAGGGTACAATAAGCAATCAAATCATACTAGGAAACAACCAATAAAAAACATTCGGATACAACAAGCAACAAGGTTACAGTCATACAGTCATAAGTGTGAGGAGATGGGTGAAAGGAAGGATGGGAGGATTAATAGTAATAGTAATGCAGACTTAGTAAATAGTTTGACAGTGTTGAGGGAATTATTTGTTAACAGAATGATAGTGTTCAGGGGAAAACTGTTCTTGTATCTAGTTGTTCTGATGTGCATGCTCTATAGTGTCGTTTTGAGGGTAGGAGTTGAAACAGTTTATGTCCAGGATGCGAGGGGTCTGTAATTATTTTCACAGCCCTCTTTTTGACTTGTGCAGTATATAGGTCCTCAATGGAAGGCAGGTTGGTAGTAATTGTTTTTTTTTCTGCAGTCCTAATGACTCTCTGAAGCCTGTTTTGTTGGGTTGCAGAACCAACCAGACAGTTATATAGGTGCAGATGACAGACTCAATAATTTCTCTATAGAACTATATCAGAAGCTCCTTGGCCAGTTTGAGCTTTCTGAATTGGCACAGAAAAACATCATTTGTTGTGCTTTTTTGATGACATTTTTGATGTTAGGTGTCCATTTTGTGATATGATAGAACCTAGAAATTTCAAGGTCTCTACTGTTGATACTGTGTTATCTAGTATTGTAAGAGGTGGTAGTATGGGAAGGTTTCTCCTAAAGCCATTTCTACGGTTTTGAGGGTGTTCAGTTCAAGATTGTTCCAGTTACACCACAAGGCAAGTTGTACAACCTCCTGTCTGTATGCGGATTCGTCATTGTCTCGAATGAGACCAATTACTGTTGTATCATCTGCAAACTTCAGTATTTTAACAGATGGATCATTTGAGATGCAGTCAATGGTATTTAGGGAGAAGAGAAGTGGAAAAAGCACACAGCCTTGGGGGCCACTTGTGGTAATTGTACAATTATTAGATGTGATTCTGCCTTGCTTCACCTGCTGCTTCCTGTCTGTTAGGAAGCTTATGATCCACTTACAAGTGTGTTCAGGTATCTAATATGATACATAATGTGCCTAGAACTACTTACCAAAGCAGCTTCACAATATCATCCTCTGCATCTACTTTTAAAAAAATCTCTCCCATCTCCCAGTTGTCACCTTTTTCTAGAGTGCTTTTGCACTAATACATTAATTCTTATATGCTGTTATAATTAAGCTTAAATACACATAACTGTGTGGGACATGCATGCTGTTTTCTTCACTGATCTCCTTATAAATTATAATTCTTTCAAAGCATGTCTTCTATGCTGTTATATTTAATAAAGTAGTACAGATATAGATTATGCTATGTTAATCAGTAACAGGAATCAAACAAACCACCAGCTGTGCCTAGTGGTTTCAAAGTAGGAATACGGTGAGGTACAGAATATGATTCCTGCGAAAGCATTTTGCTCCTTGAAAGTTTCACTAAGTTAGTCAATCTCTTGCCTGCCTGTTTGGACTTGGGCTTCAATTAAGGCAGAATGATTGATCAATCTTAATTATGGCAATAGGCCAGCAAAGCATGGTTTTGTGCAAAAACCCTGAGATCACTAGATACGTTTAATGCATTTTCTCAACTCCACTACAAGGTAAAACCAAGGAAATTGCATGGCTTAGCATAGAGATTTAAGATTATCAGTTCCATTTTTCCAGTGTATGATCCACCAGGTTCTTAACAGATATAATTCAGCTCTGAAGTTTGCTGCAGTGTGAGTGCTTACCTTGGATATTTGCCACGTATGATTCCAGTTCCTTTTCATTCATGATGCAGATGCGGGCAGCACCAGCAAAGGCAGTAATTGGGGAAGATTGGCTTTTGGGCAATCTTTCTTTATCAGGATGGTGTTGACCCTGTTTGGCTGTCCTGCCTGAAGCTTTCTTGCTTGTACAGTCCAGGAACTTTTGGCGATAATAGCTAATAGAAAGCAAGACAAGGAAAAAACCAAAGTGAGCATTAAAGAAAACTGAGGAAAACATGTAAGTAAGATGGTTAAACCATTTGCTTTTTCCATTGTTGACTTTATAATCACTCAGAGTTTCCTCTGTCTTTTTAAATCTTAGCCATCCCTCATTCTCTTTAATGATATTCTGTGCAACTAACTTTTTCTCTCTACGCACATTATACAATATTTTCCTCTCATCGTCATCTGTTGCAGCATTTTTAAAAATCCAGTCTATTCATCTTGCACCCATCCTTTTTATATATCCAATTAGCATGATCGCATGCATTTTACAGATAATTCTCAACTTACGACCACAACTGAGACCAGAATTTCTGTTGTTAATCAAGGCAATTGTTAAATGAGTTACACCTAATTTTATTACCTTTCTGCCATGGTTGTTTTAAGCAAATCATTTGCAGTTATTAATAACATGATTGTTAAGTGAATCTGACTTTCCCATTGATTGCTTATTGTAGGCCATCTGGAAAGGTCGCAAAAGTCTCTAGTGGCATACTACATACATGCATAGCTAGACGTATAGCTCTTTGGGAAGCAGGGTCATAGAGATCAGTTGAGCTTGTTGCTTATCTACTTTCCTCCCTGTGGGACAGCTAGGCTCTGCCTGAGCTCCTACATTCATGGAATTGATGGTAATATTCCCTAGACTGGTAGTGCTTCAAACAGCCTTGTGGGCCCAGAAACAGAGGTGGCTTGGAAATTCATGGCTGTCATAGTGGCCCTGGATCTGGCACAACTTATTGATGGCCCAACTCATAGAGGATACAACACATAGAGGATGCAACGTGGATCTGGTGTTTGTTGCAGGCCAAGGGCAAGGAACCCAGAATCCTCCTGCATAGGGGTGGGGGCATGGCAAATGAATCCTTTTAGAGCCACTGTGAGGACTATTCTAGGCATCTCTTAGATCAGATCTGAGCAATTGATGTCCCGGGGCCCCATCCAGCCTGTGGGTTGTTGCAGTCCGGCCTGCAGCATTGATGGTAGGATGATGGGGCATTGGCGGGATATCAATGGCAAGGGCAGAACATCAGTGTGGTGTCAGTAGTGGGGGAAAGAAGGCATCAGTGGAGGATGAGGCATCAGTGCCAAGTGGTAGGGTGGTGTCAGTGGGGACAGGACAGTGGCACCAGTCTTCCACAACAATCCCAATTTCTCAAGTGGCCCCTAGGGAAAATCAGAGTATGCTAGATAAAGTTGCTCAACTTCAGGTGCAGTGGAAGTGACTAAGGCATATTCTAGCTTGATTATTTCATGGTGTTTGAGCTAGTCAGTGATGCTATTCGACCGGTTCTGCCCGGTTCTGGCAAGCTGATAGGAGAGATGAGCACTGGAGACCGAACCGGTTCTCTCCACCACTTTGCTGTTGGGCCCACCCGCTCGCCCAGGCTCCCATACTCACTTTTATCTGCTGAATTTGAAGCGCAGCTGCTTTGCGCGGCACAGAATAGTGCCACGCGGCAGCAACCAGGATCGTGCAGGCTTGCAGGAGGCGAGTTAGAATGCCTCTGTGCCTGCGCAAATGTCTCAGTGCCTGTGCAAAGTGCGCATTTGGCATGTGTGTGCATGCAAAGTGTGTGCACGTACGCAAAGCACGCCCACCAAGCCTCGCCCACCGAACCAGTGGCAAGAATATTTGAATCCCACCACTGGAGCCAGTCAGGGGAAGTGCACAGGGTCCTTCTCTAAGCTTGACCATCTGTAATCTGGACTTATGCTCCTCCTAATTAATTAAGATCTCCTGAGAAGTGACATTTGATTGGATCTTTTGGGGAGAGGTATGGTTCTGCTAGCCTTGAAAGAGGTGGTAATTCATTTCCTCCGGAAGAGATCATCCATTTCTCAGAGAACTTTTTCCTGGTATCTAACCTTCCATTTTTAAGCAAGGGAATTTATTGGATGGTGGGAGGCCTGATGAAGTAGATTATCTACAGAAAAGTAAAGTCCTACACTTAGGCAAGAAAAACCAAAAGTACACATATAAACTGGGTGAAACCAGGCTTAATAGCAGTAACTGTGAGAGGGATCTTGGAGTCTTAGTGGACAACCAGCTAAATATGAGTCAGCAGCAGCAGCCAAAAAAGCTAATGCAATCCTAAATTACATTAACAGAGGGATACAATCGAGATCAAGTGACGTACTAATACCACTCTATAAAGCCTTAGTAAGACTACATCTAGAGTACTGCATCCAGTTTCATCCAGCATCACCACACTATAAAAAAGATGTTGAGACTCTAGAAAAAGTACAGAGAAGAGCAACCAGGATGATTAGGGGACTGGAGGCTAAAACATATGAGGAACGGTTACAGGAACTGCGTGTGGCTAGTCAAGTGAGGAGAAGGACCAGGGGAGACATGATAGCGGTCTTCCAATATTTGAGGGGCTGCCACAGAGAGGAATGGGTCAAGCTATTTTCTAAAGTGCCCATAGGCCAGACAAGGAATAATGGATGAAAACTGAACAAGGAGAGATTTAACCTGGAAATAAGGAGAAACTTTCTGACAGTGAGAAATATCAATCAATGGAACAGCTTGCCCTCAGAAGTTGTGGGAGCGCCATCACTTGAGACTTTCAAGAAGAGATTGGATACCCATCTATCAGAAATAGCGTAGGGTCGCCTGCTTGGGCAGGGGGTTGGAGTAGATGACCTACAAGGTCCTTTCCAATTCTGATTATCTGTTATCTGTTATCTGGACCTTTTGCAGTCAGAATTAAGGCCAGGCTACAGTTCTGAGACATTACTTGGTTGCTCTATATGAAATGTTAATATATATATATATTGCTAGTTCATGTATGATATGCCATGCACTAAATAACCGCTGGTTGCCTTGTGGATGACCTTGGAGGGCTTGGTTTAAGGTGATGTGTTCATCTTGGTTTTTCTTGACCTCTTGGCAGCTTTTAATATAATTGACCATTGAGTATTGCTGGAGAGGTTTGGGTGGCACTGTTTTGCAATGTTCTCCTTTCTCCATTGCTAGAATCAGGTAGTGATGGTGTGGGAAGGAGAGATTCAGTTGTAGGCCCATTATGTGTAATACCTCAGTCTCTCTTGCCTCCTATTTAATATCTATATGAAACTGCTGGGAGAAATCATCCTGCATTGGGTTCAGTATCATCAGAATGATACCTTTTCGTTCATAATTAAATCTGTTTCTTTAGTTCCCTGTATATTTTCATCAATTCTACTCCACAAAATCAGACTAATTTTATTGGGCTTATAAATTTACTTAGCTTTATAGATACATATTTATTTTTCTTTCATTTTGTTAGTTAATTCTTGATGTTTTCCATTTACTGCTCTTACATTCCAACTTGCATTCTTTCATATATCATGATTGTCTCCATCAAATTGTCCCTGCCACTTATCAAACTTTGGTCAACTGAGAGTTTCACATAATGCACAGCAGTAAGTGGAATAATTTGGAAAATGCAAGTGACATTTCAGTGAAGAACATGCATGAAATATGAATTTCTTACTAAATATCTGATGGAGAAGTATGCAAAAAGCATGGATTTTTTTTCCAACTAAAATTTTTACATTTAATAAATAGATTTACTTTGAGAACCAATCCTAAGAACAAAAAATAAGGCCTCCTAAATTCTTCTTTCTTTCTTATAGTTATTCATTAAACCTCTTCTAATAAAAAGAATGCTGGATAATTTACATTAGCTGTGATTGTAAAAAAAAAAAAAAAGATTCCCATTGAAACAGTCTTGTATAATTGAAAAGATTTCCAAATTACTGTATGAATAAAATGTGAATCAGATTCAAAACATTTTTCCATTTATTGTCATTTGGGAGAACTCCCAATCTAAATTGCTGTTGGTAAAGATGTTAATGACTAAAGGATTACGCCATTAAAATTTAACAAATTTATTTTTGAACTGTTTTGTAAGGAAAAAATGAATCTCTGGGTTCATAGAAACATACAAGGAATATTATATGAATCAGTCTATGTTTCTGTGCCCATGCAATATGCTTAGGATTTCCTCTTTCTCACCTGACAATAGCTGTAGTAGTATGTCTTGGCAGTTTAGATGATTCCACCAGCTTTGACAGGAGCTCAAAGAACAAGATTCCTCGGGCATCAACAGTCTCTTTGTCATCTTTCTTAGGGGCTTATGGAAAACAGAATATTTATGTCAAGAAATTGCCAGAGTGGGAAAAGAGAAGGCTAACAACAATGCAGAAGGGCTGGTGTTATAAATGTCATGCCCTGTCAGAGTCTGAATCCGAGAGGAAAACGAACAGCTGACAGGGATCAGGGGTGTGGCTCCGTTGGCTGTGAAGGAAACTGGGGAAGGGCAAAGTCCGGCTGGGCAGAGCAAGGGAGAGGTAGAACAAGGGAGAGGGAATTCAGAGGAAGACCCAGACCCACCCCTCTTCATCTGAGGGCATGCAGGAATGGAGAAGAGAGCAACGTGGGTTGTGTGGCTTATGGGAGAGGAAAGGGTTCTGATTCCCTTCATTAGCCACACCTGGGAAGAGAGTTTAAAAGAGATGCATGCTGAGTGCAGCGTCTGCTGGGAGCAAACATGAGTTTATCTTGTGTTGACTTTGGTTATCTGTTCCTGGCATTGTCCCAACCATGTTGAATTACAGCCATTCCTTTACGTCTGGAATTCCTTCTCCTGCCCTGCCTGACTAATTACCTCATCTTGCCGTGATTGGACTTATAGTCACAGTTTTTGTTGACCACATATTGGACTTGATTCTCTGCAGCCAAAGGCTGTTCCTCGGAGAGTTTTTCTCCAACCAGAAGGTAACCAGGACATTGGGGGCAAAGTTGGAGCTAATAAAAGGATTCCTACTTATTATCTGTGTTCCCTTTGTGCCATGCCCCAGATCATCACAATAAGCCGACTACCCTCATCTGGGAACACAAATCTATCTCTTCAGGGAAATGTGGAAAGTCCTAACTCCTGAATCAATTCCCAATTCTCTCTAAAAGCTAAAGGAAATCTTTTTTGCATTCATCCCAGGATAATTACTGGGCATAAAATTCAAACATGAAGCAGTTTCCATTCAATTAGTTCTTTTAATAGATATTAAAGAGCCTGTTTATCTAATCTGAAGTTTAATTTTGGACCTTATATAAAATGAAACAGCAACCACACAGTATATTACTAACTTTCAGCAAGGTGTTGCTTCCATTTTGCAACTTGTTATAGGTAATCCTTGACTTAGTACCACAACTGAGGCCATTTTTGTTGTTATGCAAGGCAGTGAGAGAGAGGGGGGGGAGGGAGGGAAGGAGGGGGAGAGGGAGAGGGATATAGATAGATAGATAGATAGATAGATAGTAAGCTTGTCTTACCATTGCTTAGCAATGTCATCCCATTGTATTAAATACTACAGGCAATTTCTCATGGAAAACCCAAAATGCAAAGCCTATATGGGAAATAGGGGATTTGTCCTACTAAGAAGAAGGTTCTCTTTCTTCTCACCTACGGCCTGGATGAATCGCTTGGTATCTGTGATGATGTTGAGGAAATCTGTGAAATTTACTTTTCCATCTCCTGAAAAATAGTTCCCACAAAAAAAAGAAAAACCCCACCAAGAACAATCAATTAATAAGCTAGATTGAAAGGAGTTACTTCCAATTATACTTTATTCTTACTTCTGGTGGCAACTCGACAATTTTGCCTGAATTGTAAAGGTAGTCTTTGTTCTGACCCAAACCTTGTTCCAAGGAAACAAACACGAAACAGAGGTAACAGCAAAACCTTTTAATGATTCTTTACGAATTCCATTCCTTCACGGTTAAAAGGCTGTTTCAAACTAATTGTCTCTGATAATAACGAGCCTTGCCAGGGTTGTGCAAGGCTGCCAAGAATATTAGATAAAGTTACTAAGAAATATTTCGAACACAAAGAGTCAACACCAACCAAGGTACTCCAAACGTCCACAAGGCTTGAGTCCAAAAACTTCTTTGCTTCCTGCAAAGAACTCCGGTTTCTCAGCTGCTTTTATCTCTTAACAGAGGGGCCATTACCTTGCAGCCTTACTCCCAAGTTGCCCATGCTGCTGCAGCTGCTCTTTCCTTTGAATAGCCCTGCGCACACACGCAATGGGCACAGGCTTCTCGGGGACCTCTTCATCACTGCTGCCAGCCTCCACAATCTCCGAAGGCAGCATTCCACTCCCTGGTGGTCCTGGCTCCATCCCTGCATCACACACAGGCCCCTCATCTGAGTCCTTGCTCTCTGAGACCTGAGCTGTCCATACCTGCTGCTGGCGAACCACAACAGTCTTTGACTTGCGAACATCCTTGCAGAGATCAAAGTTACGGTGGCATTGAAAATAGTGATGATCATTGCAGTGTCCTTGAGGTCACATGATTGCTATCTATGCACTGGGCAACAAGCTCACACTTATGATGGTTTCAGCATCCCAGAGTCACCATGTGGTCACCATATAAGACCTTCCCAGTTGGCTTTTGACAAGCAAGGTCGATAAGGAAGCCAATGGAAATTGTAAGTCATGATCACCTGATGTCTTGCTTAGTGATTCATTTCATGACCATGGCAAAAATGGTCATAAAATTTGGTGTGGTCACATGATGTCTTGCTTAATAACTGTACCACCTAATGACAATTTCCCAACCCCACTGTGGTTATAAACCTAGGATTATCTATACACTTCCATTCATTCATTAACATGCTATCTCTTATTCCTGTGTACACTTGAATAAGAGTTCTGATTTTAATCCGATAATGTGCTGGGACAAACTCATACCAGCTTGCAAGAGCTGATTATGTTTTCTGGAATTTTGCATTTTGGTTGATTGTGTGTCGATCAACTATTTGGCAGCTAGTGACAGCGGCAATAAAGACATTGAATTTTTTTTTGGATTGGGGAGAAAGAATCAATTATGAAACATTTGCCAATATGCCACTCTTCTAAACCTTTTTTATCCCTCAGAATATGAAGAGACTGAAAGTGCATTTCATCTAATGCCTTATTTCCAATTGAAGCCAGCCTGTTGCTCCTGAGAAGCCTACATACAAGGCATAAGGGCAAAGAACTTTATTTGTTGTTTGTGTCCAGAATCTGATATATACATGAAATTGAGGGGACGGGAGTAACAATAGTTGTAAAGCAGAACAACAACAACAAATAACCAGACAGGTTTCTGCAAGGAATGTAGGGAACGAATGATCTGACTGCGTCAGCTTTAGAATGTAGATTGGTCTAGGAAATTGGCTCCATAAATAGAAATATAGAATTTATAAAATCTTGGAATAGGAAAAACTATAGAATTATAGGGATAGACTACAGAGAAAGAATCCTGTAAGTCTACTTGTGTTTCTCCTCTCCTACCTCAAAAAGTCAGGAAAGAGTCAGCCTGAATCTCTTCCAAATACTATCTTCCTTCCCAGGACTTCAAAGCCATCTTCTTGATTCTCTATAAATAGTGAGTCTAAGGATGGATAGAGTGGGAGTATGCTTCCCAAAGCCAAGATGTAAAACTACAGGTAATCGTCAAATTATGACCACAATTGACCCCAAGATTTCTGTTGTTAAGTGAGAAATTTGTTCAGTGAGTTTGCCCTATTTTACAACTTTTCTTGCCATTGTTGTTAAGTGAATCACTGCCACTCTTAATTTAGTAACATGGTTATTAAGCGGATCTGGCTTCCACATTGATTTTGCTTGACCAAAGGTTGCAAAAAGTGATCACATGACCCTGGGTGCACTGCAACCATTATAAGCATGAGTCAGTTGCCAAGATCTCAATTTTGATTATGTGATCGTGGAGAAGCTGCAATGGTCGCAAGTGTGAAAAATGGTCATAAGTCACTTTTTTCAGAGCCATTGTGACTTCGAATGATTGCTAAATGAACTGTTGTAAGTCAAGGGCTACTTGTACAGGCAGGATATCTGAATTTTAGCTTTGCACAAATTTTCAACTATCACTGAGAATTGGTGTTTCTCCCCAGCTCACGGGCATCCGTTGTATATAAGACATTAAGAGCATAAGAAAAAGGGAATCGTTAATCCTTGCTTACTGACTGCCTCATTCACCAACTATTACCAACACAATAATGCTGAAAAAATAATTTTTCAACCAATGTCAGCATTTAGGATCTTTGTAGGATCAATCACATAATGGCCGTTATAGTCAATATGGGTTATCATATGCCTATTATTTTTTTTCCCTCTGCAAAGGAAAAAATTGGAAAGAGAGAGTAAACAGGCAAATAATAGAGAATATATCGGGCTGTTTGCTTAGTGTGCTTCATAGTTGCTGGCACCAAGGCACTGCTTTTCATGCATGTTCCATGCCTCTCCAATGAATGTAAACTCAAATGTTAATTTATTTATGTTTGAATATTTATCCCAGTGCCTAAGTGAGCATTTCAAAGGGCAGAAGAATGGTTAGGAGACCCACACAACAAAGTTGCGATTCTGATTAATTTTGTCAGTTTAAAGCCGGAAAACAGCTAGGGCAGTGTAATTTCCCACCTAGTGATTGCTCTGCTTAGCAATGGCATTGTTGGTCCCAATTATCACCACTAAATAAGATCTATCGCTATGCGCTTACCATCCATGTCAGCATATATCAGTTCATCAAGAACTTCCTCCTCTGTTAAATTGATTCCTAAATTATGGGCTGTGGTCTCTAGGGCTGCCAGATCAATTATGCCATCAAGGTCCTTTCTGAATGTATCATAAGCTGTACGGAAGGCTATGCAGAGAGGAAAAGTAGGAGGTAAGACTCAGGAGAAATGGAAGCAAGAAAGATCAGGTTACCTGCTCACCAGCCTTTTGTTATGAATGTACCCTGTCCTTGCATCTGATTCCTAGTAAATCCCATTATTATCTTGTACTTCGGAAATTAATGGACTAAAGAAAGTATTGGCCAGCCTGATGTGTTCCCTTCCATCATGCTGGGCCAACTGTCATAATTGTCAGCCATAATTCACTATGCTTTCTGGGAATGATGGGAAATGATGATTAATATATTTGAAGGGCATGAGATAGCACTGGATGACTTAAAATAAACATGCTTCCCTGTTTTCCACAGAACTTTAAATATAGTTATTTTCTATATTTTGTATTTCATATGACCAAATTGCATATCCTCCAACTCCAGTCCCAAATTCTTTTTGTTTTATGAAAAACTTGCCAATTTCTTATCTAAAGCTGCTACTCAATCTGATTCTTGCAACCGAAGATCAGTTCCTATTTTGTAAATTGGGGAGGCCGTTTTACCAAAGCTTTGGTTCTCCACCTTTTCTTTACCACAGACCGCCCCCTATCGTGGCCATGGAACCATGGCCATAGACTTCCAGGACTTAACTCAACATTTAAATCATACATCTTTTGAAGTTATAGAACATCACAGCCCTCCAGGGGTCAATGGACCACAGGCTGAGAACCTCTGAATCAGAGTATTAATTTGCAGTAGCAATAGCAGACTTACATACCGCTTTACAGTACTTTACAGCCCTCTCTAAATGGTTTACAGAGTCAGCATATTGCCCCCAATAATTTAGCTCCTCATTTTATCCACCTCTGAAGGATGGAAGGCTGAGTCAATCTTGAGCCTGGTGAGATTCAATCTGCCAAACTGCCAAATTGCAGGCAGCCAGCAGTCAGCAGAAGTAGCTTGCAATACTGCATTCTAACCACTGCACCACCGTGGCGCTAATTAATTAATCAATTGATTAATTAATTAATCAAATTTATATTGCTGCCCATCTCATGGAAAGAGATTCTGGGCAGGGTACAATAATCCAATAAAACAGTAAAATAAATAAAACAATCATAATTTAAATTATTATATCATAATTATTAGAAAAACAAAAACAAAAAAGGTAAAAACAGTGTCTTTTCAGAAATTATAATATTATAGCAGGTTACTGACAATGCTTTAGGGATCAAAGCACTTTAAAAAGTACATGGCCAGAAAAAGGAAAGCAAAAGGTTTGTAACAACATGACATGATAGCACAATAGGAAATATCACTTTTTAAATATATTTTCTTTTCTGGAAGCTGATTTCTTACAGTAGATATTAATATTATTATCATGTATTTTTTCAGGGTTATGAAGATTGCGCATAATATAATTGCAGTTCAAGTTAACTACCAAATCTTTGATAAAATCTACGAAAAACAGTGGTATTACGTTTAAAATAATGCAAAGCTTAAATGTTCCTGTTTTATGCATGGAACCTCTAAGTAAAAACTCTTCACCACAAAACAATTTCCATGAAGAAGGTAGATTTAAATTAAGGGTGTAAGTTAGTAGAACAGGACTAATGATAAAATTATTATATCTTTCAGACACATTCTTCACAAACTATATACAGGGCCTTGGGAAAATTTCAAGTTATAGGATTTCTAAGCAGGAGAAATACCTTCTAGCTGTGGCTTACTCAGGTTCTTCACTGCTTTGGGTCTGGCCTCCTCATTCAAAGTCACAGAAGGGAAAACCCTGTCCAAATTAAAAAACAAACAAACAAACGATACTGATTAATTTTCAAGAACTCCACTGTTTTTATGAAAAAGAGCGAAATACTGGATGCAAAATGAAGGAGTTTCTGGAAAAAAAAGACTACAATCATTGTTAATAATTGGCAATATAATAAAAGCCATTACTCAATTATTTATTATTACAGTTATTAAAGGGAGACTGATTTTTTGAAAGTTTTATTATGAAATATTAGCATGTCATCTGAATACTGACTTGCATATTCCAAAATAGTATGGGAGACAAATAATAGGATTAAACAACAAATAGCCTTTTTAAATTCTTCCAGCCCTGAAAACCCATTACTTAATCACCAAAGTTTCAGTGGGAGAGAAGAAATCAGATGGATAAATCTTGCTCTACCTGTTTGGTGTTTGGAGAACTGACCTCTCCACCATTCTGGGCAACTTGAACATCTTTGCATCTTGCATTTTATTTGGATATGTTTCTATGAAGAAAAGAGAATACATCTACTGTCAGGACCAACAGTTCTCTTCCTGATATTGAATCATTGCTAATTTCTTTGGGCTGAGCCAGTGTTTCTACCACAATGACACATATTTATATTGTCCTCTTTATAGATTACAATTAGATGATTTTAAAAAGCAGAAAAAAAAAGAAAGAATGCCAGATAATGCATATATTTGAGTGGTTTGGTTATCTTTATCTAGGAGGCTTAAGAATTATAATTTTGAGAATGCATCCTTTTTCACATATTCCTAGCTATTCTTGACCTCAACCATGCTGCTTTATACTAAGAGCCATGCAAATTTATTTTAAATCACATTTGTGATTGAGTACTATATTCACTATAATACCAACAGTGTATGTAAAGGAAGAAAAGCATACAGGAAAAGAGAATCTGCAATTTAATAAAGCTATGCTAAAAATAACTACCATGTGCACCCATCTCCTACTTAAGACCATCTAGTCAACTTCATACTAAGTGCTGATCTTCATTAGTCCAGGACCATCTTAAGACTATAGTTGGCAGCACAATTATTTTAGTAGAATGCTGCTCAGTTTGATAACTGCTGTACATACACTTGTATGCACAGAATCCCCCCCCCCCATATTATTATCAGTGCTAGAACAAAGAATGAGCCGCAAGATGTAGCTTCTGCAAGTTTGTGTCGGCAACAACTGAAAGTTTTGTTCCTTTTTTATGGGAATCAGTAATAAATCCAAAAGCACCAAGAACCTCTTGTTTCCTTCCTGTAAAGCACCTGAAAAGAGTTCCCCACCCAACAATTTGGTTTCTGAAATATAAACAATGACATATCATTATCCTTAATGATCTTATATTAAACATATATGAACCAGTTAAATTTCAAGCAATCATGCTTGGAAATGCATATTTAATTCCTGTTTAAGTTTCTCTTATGCAAAAGCCTTCTGTTCACATAACCATAGAAGTCAAACAATGTTGAATGGGGTGTAACTAATTTTGGAGGTTATCTCATTTTGATATCATCAATCCCACATACTATGAATTTCCTGTTCTGTTCTTCCTGACTTCCTAGAAGAACATATCCTTTAAATTTCTGAATACCCTCTGCAATCCTCTCCAACTTGGTTACCTCCAGAAGTTTTAGAGTAAAACCAATCATACCCACTAGCACAGTAAATGATTGCAGATTAAGGATGATGGTATCTGTATTCTAACACATCCAGACCATATCAGATTGAAGAAGAGTGTTGTGGAGGAGGCACATGACATAACTCCTAAAACTTCTCTTTTCATGTAACTTCTTACCATGGGACAGTTGTCCTTCAACTTTGTAGAGTTAAAAGTTGAAGACTTGCTTGTGATCAGGACATTATGACCTATAGCTGTCTTTCATGTACCCTGGACAACCAATAACCCTTAGCAATAATGAGGATCTTTAAAAGCAGAAACTCACTAGTTATACAGAGTCCATGGACATCTAGAAAGGCGACTAGTTCGATAAGCAGCATGGCTTGTGAAAAGATAGCCATGACCAAGTGGGCAGATTAATGTTAATCCATAATCAAAGTTACTGACAATGAGAATAATCTTCATTTATTCCCAAGGCTACTGGAGACCATGAGCAATTAAACACACATCATTTAGAACTTGGAGTTAAGAGCTAAGAGGACCTTTATATTTTCCTTGGCCAAGATTATCCCTGCTACTCATTCCTTGGATAAAGAATGGAGAATCTTAAAGACTTGGCACTGCATATTCTATTACCACATCATCAGTTTGTAAACTTTTGATCTGTTCAACTTCTTTATCTTTATGCATGAGTTAAACATGGAGTTTATATGGTGCAGAATACAGTGGGTGAGGGCCCCAGAGTGCCACATATAACATTGTTGTTGCACAAGCTACACTGATTACCATTTGCTTCCAGAACTAATTCAAAATGTTAGTTATTACCTTTAAAGCTCTGTATAGCAAAGCAATAAATAATTTTTTATTTGCTTTGGACTTAGGAAACACATTTGTTTGGGCCACATGGAAGCTGACAGTGTAAAGGCTTTCTCCTTGGTAGTGAAAATAATCTGATTTGATTTACATCTACACAGGACTACTGCAAGGACTTTGTGTTTTACTAGTTTTTAAAAGAACTTTGTGGCTTTTTTTTGTATTTATTTTTGGTCTCTTTTTTCTAAAGAGATAGGAATTCCATTTTTCTTTTCTGTTTATTCTCTATCATGGGAAATATTATCTTAATTTTTCCTGCAGACATTTTGTTACACAACATCTACTTCCTTTTGTCCTTGGGAGGAATTGCTTACACTTTGTTGTGAAAGTCCACCTATAAAAGAATTTTGGACTACATTAAAAATGAAAGCAACAATAAATGACTTAATGGAAAGGTTTACTTGAGCTTGGCTCTTCCAATTTCTAGACCAGTGATTCCCAAACTTTTTCAGTCCACCGCCCTCTTTGTGCTACAAACTCATCTTTGGTGCCCCCCGCCCAGGGGTAGGATTCAAATTTCTGTGGGCATGGCCTAATTTGAGGGTGTGGCTTGCTGGTCACGTGACTGGGTGGGCATGGCTTGCTGGTCAGGTGACTGGCTAGAGTGGCTTGCTGGCTGGGCATGGCTTGCTAGTCACATGACCGGGTAAATGTGGTTTGGTGGTCATGTGACGGTGGGCGTGGCCAGATGGCTGGCAAACCAAATTCAAGTGGTCCTCACTTAATGGCTGGTTGTTTAGCAAGTCTTCTAATTTATGACTGGCCTCCCCAGAGCTACTTGACCTGTTTTTGGAGTTTTGACAGCCATGCACACACATACACACACAATCCCTTCTAACCCTGCTGGAGCAGGTCATTGGACTAGAATCAGCAAAGCATCTCTGATTAGATTCTAGTAGTGAATAAAATCTAATCAGAGATGCTTTGCTGATTCTTGTTGATTTGTTTTATTTTTATTTCTTTATTTTATGTTGCTGAATTGTATTGACATGTGTGTCCCCTCTTGTGCACAACCCAGAAGCTTTTGTGATTCTTTGCAGCAAAAATTACCGACCTCTGGCTTTGCTTGACTTTTCAAACGTGCTGCCACTGCCGCGTTCTAGGTCCCGGCCCCACAGGTCCACCCCATTGAGCCCACCGCACTGGAGGGACCTGCCCAAGCAAGTCCAAGTGAAGCGGTGCACCAAAGAAAGAAAGAAAGGAAGGAAGGAAGGAAGGAAGGAAGGAAAGAAAGAAAGAAAGAAAGAAAGAAAGAAAGAAAGAAAGAAAGAAAAAGGGTCAGACAAAGAAAGAGGGGGGATAGAAGGAAGGGACAGAAAGAAAAAGAAATAAAGGAGGGAGGGAGGGAGGAGAAAGATAATATCTATTCTAGTCCAATCACCTGCTCCAGCAGGGTTAGAAGGGAATGTGTATGTCTGTGTGTGTTCTCCTTGTAATTTACCAGTACATTTTGGTTTTGCCTTCTTCAGAATTGGCATTGTAATATATTGGGGAAAAGTAATTTTTTAGGGTGGAGATCTGGTCCAATGGATCCTGTTTAAAGCCTCAAAAAATGTGAGAGCTTCCTGATAGTCTTGACCATGTTTCGTCCACAAAACCTTTAATAGAAGCCGAAGATGTTTCAATGTGCTGCTAAAGATGTTTCAGTGTGCAAAAGGGCCTCAGTCTAAACTAGGTCTCATTTCAATCTGATGCATCAACTCTCTCTCTCTCTCTCTCTCTCTCTCTCTCTCTCTCTCTCTCTCTCTC